TGTTTCTGTATACCATTGTATCAACAAAGGTTTTTTCGGAATAAATATACATATATACATATATACAAGGAAACAGTGTGTTGCGTAAATCAACAAGGTTGATTATTAATATATATACTATTAATTATATTAATTTTGAGAAATTATTGAAAATTTAACATTTTTTTGTTAAATTTTGTATCAAAAGTCATTAACATAAATGAATTTATTTTTATCTGATATATAATATTGAAAATACTTCTACTTACGTTTTGATTTTAGTTAAAAATGTCCTTATATTTACTCTAAAAGTTGTCAAAATTAAAGTGCTTAACCATATATAAGTATCTATAATTTGATGAAATGTTCTAAAAAACATTTACATGAAAGTGTTGTAAAAATCTGAAAGTACTTTATATGAACTTATAATACTTTGAACTTGGCAAAGATTGGATGACTTTTAGAAAAGACATAAGTAATAAATTCACAGTTAATTTGTCCTACTTCTTGTTTGGTTGATTCAGACAGGTTTTATCATATTAGTTTAATTCGTTTTAAAGAAAAACAAAATATATCTTTTACTGTGTCTTTTTTAGTAATCATCTAGTGCAATCCAGGGGCCTGGGCTGATATGCATAAAACCACTTTAGTTAAGATATCCAATCGTACTAGTACTAACCTATCGTACGACATGTAGAAAAATCCGTCCGTTCGGAACAAATCTTAACTTAAGTAGTTTTATGCATATCAGCCCTGGGCCCGTATGCATAAAACACCTTAACGTAAGAGTTCCTTATACTAAGAGTTCACTAAGATTTCCCTTAGTTAAGTAAAATTCTAAAGTCGTTTGCATAAAATTACTTAAGTCTTCACTTAACTAAGAAATACTTAAATCGGAACCTTTCTCTAATTACCGTAGATATACGTTAGCTCATCGCATTTACTTACTCGTGCAAAGTTTGTTTTGATTATTTACATTGAATGAACAATACATACTTTTATTGGGAAATGGGGTTAAATAGATGTTGGTGTGTAAAACAATCAAAAGATACGTAACCGACTAAAATGTCCAAACAAATGCCAAAATTGGCGCATAAGAAAAAGATTGTTTTGATGGACATGCATGGGAAGACAAAAATTTTTGTAATGCAAATCTTCCCCCTACTGTTACTACAGAAGAGTTAAAAGGGGTTTGGAAGGATATTGATTGATTTATTGAAGTTTGCTTAACGTCCAGTGGCAAATATTGTATGCATGTTCAGGACGAGAACAAATTAACAATAAATGCAATAGTTAGATCCTGTAATAGAGATTGTCCGGGATGAAGGTCGGGAAAATTTGGACTGCCACTGGAAAATGAAGGCATATTGGATAGGGACAGAATTTTGTATTGCAACAGGCACTTTTTTTATACGAGGCATCGGGTTTAACGTCCCCATTCTGACCGGACGTGGCTGCGTACTTATACATCCCGAACAGCCAAACCGACGCCCGACTTTGACAAGGGTTTTACTGCTGGTTGGAAGAAGACTACAATTACCATATTTCTATTCTCCGGTCACCATTTGAAATGGAAGGAAACAACAAATATATAACAATTTAATAAGTACAGAAAATTAGATGATGAGAGATTCTTAAGACATCCAAACGAAGTGGGACAACTTATGCATGGAGTGATAAATATGAAATGTCAAAATATTTCGAAATTATCCATTAGCAATTAATTGTGTTTCAGCAAACAAAACTTCACTCACAGGAGGAGTCGCTTAATGAATACGCAACATTATCTTGTTGCAAATCACCCAGATTAATTATCATGGCATATGTTAGTTAAATCTTATTAAAAAAAAAGTTCCAAATCATCATATTTATCAAACAGATTTGTCCCATCTCTAATGCAACGACCATTCATCTTTCATGGGTGTTGCTGGATGAAGGGGCATGTCTTTTTTCTAGAGAAAAGCAACTCTATCAATACAAGATCAAGGTTTTTAAAAATCTATTTCGATCTAAAATGATGTTTTTTATCATTTCCATATTACAACAATAAAAAGGGAGGTATGATCAATTTTCCATGAATTCCTATCAAGACAGGGGCATTATTCAAAAGTCCTTCAATCTTTACTAAAACACAAAAAAAAAAAAAACATTTTCCGATTCATATGTTTACCTTTAGTTATTATCAACAACGGCAGCGTATATACGAATTTTTCACTTGAAAGATATCAATGGCTAAAGATGAATCAAAACTGCGTGCATTCTTTCTTGATTTAAGAAAAAATGAGCCATTATCAAAAAATTGTCGAGAAGGACATTCTTAACCAAAACCAAAATCCTACTGAAAGTAATTGAATATATAATCTTTCTGATACACCATAATTTTTTTAGGTAAATGAATTCCTTCTATGCTAAATTTGAAATTTGCAATATTTTCGTTAACAGCAAAAAGAAAATACAAAAAATACCGAACTCCAAGGAAAATTAAAAGCAATATATCACTTAATATTTAAGGAAATATAAAAAAAAAATAATAATTGAATACGGTTTCAGTATCATTAGTATGTTATTATGACTTTGAATTCTATGGAGTTTGTTCTCGTTATTGAAACAAATTCAAGGGACATTTGCCCTATATCATTAGAATAAAACTATATGTTTGAAAATTAAACCGATATCGAACACACAATAGAAATATTTATGCGGAATAAAGACTAACTTTCAAAATTTATGTAGAAAAAATCCACTAAATTTCCAATGTCTATGCGGGGAAGCCACGATTCATACCCCTACACTAGGACGACTGGATACAAACTCACTGTTAATTTAACATATTTAAACATTGTATCCGGGGTTCATAAAGGGTATATACTATATAGTAATATATAAAGTATATTATAATTATTGTATGGCATTCTGAACTAGATGTTATGAAGCGTAATTTTTTTTCATATAGTCTAGAAGAGCTGGAGTGACCTTACACTGACACACCGCGTCCTCGTGGGATAACTATTACATATAACGTTCAATGTTATTTATATGTAAGCATGCACGAACAGAAGAATCAAAAGAAAAATAGTAGCATGAATGCGTGTAAAAACTGTGAGTAGTTTTCGGAATACACAATAGCGAGATTGAGACATAAGGATAGAATGAAATTATATAGCTTGTACCTACCCTCTGTTATCTCTTGATTTTGTGATTATATGTGATTTTAAGAAAATTACAATGGTCGTTTATATTTAGCAATAAACAAATGAAATAATACTGATATAATTATTAATCAATTAAATGGTAGCTAATGTATCCATGTTCTGCAAAAACGCATAATCTCGACGGATTTTAGCTAATTTTTTTTTAAGGTAGCTCTATAGGTACCTTTAACTTACCGGTCTTACACTTAAGTATAATCTTGACCTTTAGAAGAGATAGGTGCGCATCATGTGGCTAATTCATTAAACAGAATGTCAACATTGAAAAGTAAAACGAGGACACAACCAGGTATATCCATTTAGTTTACTGATCCGGCTCACAAAAAAATCTTTCTTATACAGATAAAACGATAATTTGCATATATTTTTAATCTATAGAAAGAAATCAAACAGACAGAGAAAAATACGATTGCACGTGCTCGCTATCTATTTATATTTATATGTATGTTTATATCGGGTTATATGACCGTCGGTAGTTTTCGGAGGTCCTCTCGATGAATAATTAGAAGACGTCTGATCTAAAATACGTACGAAATGCTGATACATTATAGCGAGTTAATGCACTGCTAATTGTTTTTTTTAGACTTTTTTGTAATTTGGGTGTTCGTTTTAGTATATTATAAATAAAATATATGAATTTGGGTCAACTCGAACTAATGCCCCTTTAACTTAAGACATCACATAGGACAACGATGTGTCATAAAACCATAGAATAAGTCTTAATTCTATTAGTAAGATACTTTCGAAAACCAGGGCCCTGATTCTAATGAATTCCAATCATCTTACTTTATTTCATTTTTACTTATCACCCCCCCCCCCCCCCTAAAAAAAAACCAAAAAAACAACAAAAAATCAAAACAAACGAAAACAGTTATTAGTAAGAATAATCTGTTATGTATGATATGCCCATACTCGTCAAATTAAGTAAGTAAGTAAATAAAACTTTATTTTGATTCGGCATATTGACAAACAATTTAAACGTAAGATCTGATGATCTTTTCTAATTTGAAATAGAGATTTGTTTTTATAGTGATTAAGATTATAACACAATGTTGACTGATGTATCCAATTTTTGACATATTTTACCAAATATGTCTATGTGTTTTGCTCACACATTGTTGTCAATATAATGGAATTCTATGCGACTATCATACAAGTGAGAGGTTTAGCTAGCTATAAAACCATGTTTAATCCACCATTTTCTACATAAAGAAATGACTGTATCAAGTCAGGAATATCACAGTTGTTTTCCATTCGTTTGATGTGTTTGAGCTTTTGATTTTGCCATTTGATAATGGACTTTCCGTTTTGAAATTTACTTAGAGTTTTGTATTTTTGTTATTTTACTGTTCACCGAATATAAAAACACAAAACACATACAATAACAAATAAAACAAGAAATGCATAATGCAAATCAATAGTTATAAAAACATGAAAAGCACCACGTTACTCTGGTAACAAATGCACTTTGCTAACACTAGACACATATATATATTTATAAAAGAATGCGTAAAGCTTACGAATTTCAATAAATGGTTTAAAGTGAAACTATAATTATTGTTAATATTAAAAAGTGAAATTTTTAAGTTGCAGTGCAAGCCATTTAATAATAATATGCAGCATAAAATGCATGAAAAAATGTATCAAAATTACCTGCAGACAGAGCAAAAAAGTCCGATCCACTACAGGACTGAATAAGACTTCTAAAATGTGTGAAGCTGTTTTCAGTCCTGAAGTGGTCCGGTAAACAATTCCGTAAAGAAGCAGCAGCAAAACTAAAAGATATATTACCATATATGCGTTAGTTCTTACCTATGGTATTTCCAAGATGTAACTGTATCTAAAAGAATATTTATTGTGTTTTCGAAATGCGAAGCAAATTTTGTAAACATTAAGGAGCCTAATTATTCAAAATTTGGAAAATATCAAATGTCATTGTCCTGATGCGTCTCACTTGTAGGATTGGAACCTTTGCGAGCTCAAGAAGAGTTTCAGAGTGATAAATAGTCGTCATAGACGAGTCTTAATGCTCTTTCTTGGATTTTTTCCCTATTTTTTTTTAAGAATTTGTCTCTCTACAAAAAAGCCAAGCCAAAGGGCAAAAATAAAACTACTCAAAATGAAAGTATGAAAAATTATAAGTTTTTTTAACTGGTTAAATAGGATAAGATACTCTTGAGAACATACAGCTGTTGTGATGCCTTTCTACACAATTAAGTTACGTATATGTGCATCATATTTTAGTTCGAAATTAATATCAATTCCAAGAATTTGAAAAGTTTTTTCCCATGTTATAATATTTTGATGAATATGGATGGATGGATTTTTCGAAAAGGTTTTTCACCCTACAGCAATAACCTGACATTTATCAGGATTTGCCTGCATCTTATTATCTTTTCTTTCAATCGGCACTTGGGACTCGGATCGTAATATAGATTTTATATAATGTCATAATCGGGACTGCTGACAGACAGAGTATTATCATCAGCATAATTATATAAGGAACTATGTTTAACAAATTAAAATGTGTCATTTATGAAAACAATGAACAAAAGGGGCCCCAATACAGAGCCTTGGGGTACCCTCCTTTTGAATGGCAGCCCAACTACTCAGAACACTGTTGACTTTTAAATTAATTTGTTGTTTGCTGTCGGAAAGATACGATTTTAACAAAAATACAGAACGTGGGGAAACACCATATGCTAATAAGTTATCCAATAAAATATCATGAGGTAAACAGTCAAAAGCTTTTGATAAATCCATAAGAACTGCAGCTGTATAAAAAAATCTAGGGCTCTACGTCAGTCTTCCAGTAATCTGAGTAGCGTAGTCCGACATCCATGTCCTCTACGGACAGCACATCGATAAAGATTAAAAATGGAATCAAAGAAGTCATATAACTGTATTTCAAATACCTTTTTCGAATAACTCTGGAAAATTATGTAAAACACTGACTGGTCGTCTGTAGTCTTATTTCATTAATGGGTCGTTCTTTTTATGTAAGTATAAACTTTAAGTCTTAAAATTACCACAAAGGAAAAAATATGCTTCGCTCAAATACCTAACAATGCATGTACCCTTGTATGATATTTCAAGGAAGGCCACAATTAAATCTTAAATTCGATAAGAATGCGATATTAACACGTCTAGAACTAAGGTGTTTTTTAAAGATCTAGACCACAAATGACGATCAAGCACTGTTGTTCCTATATATATTTTAGGATGATATATAAATTTTATACGTTTGACCAAATTAGGTCAAGAAGGTGATCGTTTTAGTGTATGTCGCATACGAGTATTTGCATCATATGCGTATATATATATATATATATATATATATATATATATATATATATATATATATATTAGATTTTAACAAAACGCATTTGACTAATAGGTCGAACAACTGATGTTCTTAAACCCTGCTGACTGCCATTGGCGATTGCCAAATAAATTGATCACCAGATGTAACATGGATCTTAATTAAAAATTTAATACCAAACAGAAAACAATAAACTTGCGGAAAAGATGGTATATCGCAAACATAAGGTGCAACAATTTGTACACCATATCCGGATTTTGACAATTAATGTCTCTTCAGTGATGTTAGGGATCGAAACGGTATTTGGAAGGCCATATAATTTACCTCAATTTAGGATAGACTCTTGAATTTTAAAGAGTCGAAATAGGATGAACGGATCATATAAACCCGAAGGAAAATATAATACAAGCCCAAACGAAAAAATATAAACAAGTCTAAATTGAAAACAATGTTCAAACCTATGATTGCGTTGGATAAAAACCGCAATTTTTATACGTGTGCATGTAAAACAAATTTCTTGGTAGAGGGGTCTAAATACAGCACAAACAACATAAAAACCGCAATTTTTATACGTATGCATGTAAAACAAATTTCATGGTAGAGGGGTCTAAATACAGCACAAACAACATGTTTGTGCTGTATTTAGACCCCTCTACCAAGAAATTTGTGTTGTTTGTGCTGTATTTAGACCCCTCTACCAAAAAATTTGTTTTACATGCACACGTATAAAAATTGCGGTTTTTATCCAACGCAGTCATAGGTTTGAACGTTGTTTTCAATTCAGACTTGTTTATATTATATATATATATATATATATATATATATACTCATTTAAGAATTGAATGCTTCTTTTTTGTGGAAGCTCGTGTCATCATGAATGTTACATTTCATTTTGAAATGAAGATTAATTTCAGAATGACGCGAGATTGCTGTTAGCCAATCAAAATAACGCATAGTAATGAAACATACATGTAATGTAATTACATACAGGTAATGAAGGTCAAGGAAAAGTAAATGGGCTATGTCACAGATTTTGGTAAAAATTTCATACAACGTTGGCTCGTTGAACAATAACTTAAATCTAAAATATAATGCATTTATCTCATTCATTTATAAAATATGACTGATTGAATTCTCTCAAACTAGATGATCATTTGAATAGAAAGCACATAAAATCGGCGAAAAACGTTCTTAGATTTGTCTTAAAATCATAAAATTTCAAATTTCAAATCCATAGATTTTTCTTTAAAAGACTATGTGTTGTTGATACATGAATTTCCATTTTAATTATATGAGTATTCGCCAATGGTCATGACCATACGGTACGAAACATGCATGTATACATATCGAAGACATGCGAAATAGTTGAAATCTAGGTCCAATTCTTCTTTAATATCAATCGTTCTGAATATGCAGGAAACATTTGCAATAATTAAGCGAGGACAAAAATATCAATTCATTAAGAATTAATTCATGGGGCTTGAATTTATACTGATTTTATTACGGGTTGGCCCTTTGTGCTGAATATTTTACCACGAGCGATAGCGAGGGGTAAAATATCGGCATAAAGGGCAAACCCGTGGTAAAATCAGTATACATTCAAGCCCCCATGAATGATTTCTATTCTAGTAGAACAAATATGGCAATTCTCTTGGATCGAAGCGCTGTAGGTGAAGACAAACATTTGCCGTTCCTGTGATTAAACACACTATCAATATTGACATAAAAGAACGGAGAAAACTGAACTAGTAACATGCTCCCGTTTGAATGGTTTTACACTAGTAATTTTTGGGGCCCTTTATAGCTTGCAGTTCGGTGTGAGCCAAGGCTCCGTGTTGAAGACCGTACTTTGACCTATAATGGTTTACTTTTATTAATTGTGACTTAGATGGAGAGTTGTCTCATTAGCACTCATACCACATCTTCTTATATCTATTAAACTATTTACAATAACGTACTTAGATAGGTTTGGCTGAATTTAAATGATAATCTTAACTATATGTAAAAAAAATGGCTTTTAACAAATTTTATCATCGTTTGTTTATCAACCGTGCATTTTCCAGTAAAATGCTTATATTCTTACATCATCGTTCAATGACGTCGTGTAGTTCTTTCGGCAAAAAAAAAAAGCATATGACGTGGGAGTATGATCAGAACAGCCCAAACAAATCATGACGTTGCCGATCAGCTGACATACAATATATTCATATTTTTCCACGGATGTGTACTCAAAGCGTTTTAAGAACGTCATATTAGAATCTTATATATGAGTTAGTAAACTGCACCAAATCATAAGACCCGATCCCTGTATTAAAAGTGAAATTTATATGACAAAATTGCTGTTCTGTTTATAATATATCTATGCCTCGTCATTCATTTTTTCGTATTCAGTTTAAATTTCCATTTGACTACAGGCACTAAATCGTCTGGTATGATACTTCTTTAGCTTTAGAAATCACATCGTCACTCCTGGAAATCGAATCCGAGACCTCGATGTCAGCGCTCTTACAAACAAAGCTGAAATAGTAGGGCTCCAATAGGGTACAAGGTCGCAAGGTCACTTTTTTTATAGCAAATTTGACAAAAGTGACTTTGCAATCAGTATTCATGTTTGGTGTGCACTGCAAATACTGAAGTGTAACTGATGTACTAAACATGGCAGTAACTTATATACTTGAAAAAAAAACAAGAATTAAATCTAATAATGTGAAATTGCATAGATGGTACCAGCGGGATTCGAATTCTCCATATCGGGATCAAAAGGCAGCGCTCTAACTGATTGAGACAAAGAAGATCTTCCCTAACTCAACCTGGTTAGAGTGCTGCCTTTAGATCCCGGTGGAGGGTTCGAATACCGCTGGTACCATCTATGTTATTTCACAATACTAATTTACATTCAGTTTTATATATAAATGATAAAGCATTCTTACTTATCTGATAAATGGTGACACATTTCCTTATCTATTATTATTGCTGTAATATATCTTACCAATATTGTTATGTATAATATGTTTATCCTGTTTAGATTTTAAATAGATTATATGATTTTTCTACACGTAACCCTTTTAACATCTTATTTATTAATATCGCCTTGTAAAGTGTATTTATAAATCTTTGTAATTGAGCTAAAGTATGTCAAGTATGCAGGAAACATTTACGTGTATCCTCCTTGTCTTATTATTCATAAAAGTTAACAAGAACTATCTTCACAAAAGATATCCGACCCATGTAGATGGGTTCATATGTTTAAAAGGATCATTTTAATGACTTTCAAGCCCTACATTTGACGACTAAAGTCTGACAATTTTACAAATTGAGGACATAGACTTGTCCCTGAAAAAAATATACATACATACTGTAATGATGTTATGTGTGTGTGTGTGTGTATGATATTCCCTAAATATATTTATTCCATGCTTCACTAATTCATCAGGTCATCCAGTTGTTCGCTCGTGGGGACGTCCGATCTGGATGGCAACTGCTTAATGACTGACTATATACAAAGGGATATCCCGGACATTATTAACATGTTATTATTGTTCCGAATGTTCTTTGATACATGGTAGAACTGTGTGAATGTATTTCCGAGTAAACTGATCTGATCACGTACTAAATGACACAGGCGCTTGGGTACAGCATTTAGAATTTTTTTTCATTGTTTGCACTGAATATTCTATTTTCTATTTTATACCACTTACTGACACTGCATGAGCTTGCCTTACCTTGTTTTGAATAATTTTGTGTCCATTCTGAAAATGTCCCTTATTTAACTATCCATACTAAAAAACAACAAGGCAGCTAACTCGAAGCCATTTTGTTTTAGGTGTTCGACAACCAATTCACCCACTCCAATTTAGAACATATGTAAAAGTAACCCTTCCCTGACAAAAAATGGTGTATTGATGTCATTGTTTGCTTAAACTTACAAACAAATTTGCAGAAATGAAACTTTTGGTGAGAGAGAAATATATTTAGACCATTTTGAGCCAAAATTTACTTGTCTATATGAGTTTGCATTAAAAATTGAGGATTGATGCGCTTCATAGTATACTTGTAGTAGTGTCATTTTTACGCCTATTAAATAACAGTAAACATATCTTTATAACGTACTTTAAATTGATTGTATTAATTATAAAAGTTTAACTCTTGAATTTTGATGAAGGAATATTATTATTTAATTCCAAATCAACACTTTACTTTTTATATTTAGTTCATGAATATTCAAAAGGTTCTTAGTTAAAATTGCGTATCTGATTGGTCATTGTGATTTCGCGGTCAATTTATATTTTGTATTGACCAGGTAGATTTGAACGGGAACTTGAAATGACAGCCACATGATATTGTGTGTCCCGAGTTATATTACCTGTATATTATTATTTTCATTCATTGTGGACACAACATATATCTGATTAATGTAAGTTATTTTCTTTATTATATTAGTTACATTTTCACATGTAAATGATAAAGTTAGCAAAGTTTCTATTGTATGACTTCGTTCTCCTCGTAAAGTTTGGTTATTACATTAGTATGATGGATGTACCCTAGAATATTTTATTTAGCTTCGTGCTACATATATTTTATTATCTACCGTTAATTTGTCACGATAGAATATAGAACAAGATAATTTGCGCAGCTATTTGATTATTGACACAGATAGTTGATATTTCATAAATGGCGGCATATTAAACAAAATAAGGAAAAGTGTTAATGTTGATATTTATTAGTACACTTATATTATACAATGTAATGATAGAAGTATATAACTATGAATGAACTTGAGTTATTTTGTCATATTGTATATTTTAATATTTTACGAGTCCGAATGTTTATGATTACATTTTGGTTTTAGGACTCCATTGATGTAGTTATATACAGAGTATTACTTGTGAACTGCGCCTACTCCTTACCAGTAAAACTCACTCCACAAGTGGTAAGAGTCAATCTATTTTAATTATGTAACGTTATGGATTATATCCCTTTACATATGCGGTTTTAAGCATATTTAAGATATTGGCTTAATTAGTCTTTATAAAAATAGTATTTGCAACTTAATGATTGTTGTAATGTAATAGTATGTAAAGAACAAATAATATATTATGTTCCGATTAGTTTATTGTTATATGTGCAGTTTTAACTTTAGTTTTGTACCGTACACATAGTTTACCAGTAAACATTATATAGTACACTATTTGTGATCCAGGGTTATATTCTTGTGTAGTGTATCACAATGAGAAATAAGAGTACACGTGACATCTGAAAGAACTTACTGAATGTATTTATTATTAATTTCGTAGTATAGTACACAGTAATAAAGAGCATGGTATTTTACTATTACAATATCTGATAATGTGTAATTTAAGATACTTGTGTTTTATAAAATAGAACTGTTATTTATAATTGTGATATTGTTATTTCAGAGTTTATTTTCAATTACTGGTATTAAACCATCCGAACCCTATAGAACAGAGTTTGTTATTTACTTAATCCAAGATACGACCCTGTTACAAAATGGCGCCCACGTAGGGACATGGATTGATGGCACAGTCAGATTAGGGTACCAGTGTATGTGTTTAGTGACAACCGAAGCAGACGACAGATGAGACCTCGTGATGTGTTTGTTTACCAACCATGCGCAGATGTCCGAAAATGCACGTGCCAGTGTTTACATCCGTTGATGTCCACATGTGTTTATTTACATTAACATTTTATACCGTTTTCCAGTTATGAAGATTTGTGAAACCGGAAGTTACTTTTAGTAACTTAGACTTTTTGATTTTCTTAATTGAAAATAGAACTTTTGTTGTTATAATTAATTCATATTATTGTGATTGGAACTGGAAAAGTAACTTAGCTTTATAAGGTAGGCTTTTTACTTATATATATATTATAATTGTATACTGAAATAGTTTGCTTACACACTTTAAAAAAAAATAATTTACACATACTTTAATTTGTTTACTTAAAGGAGACTTTAATTAGATATCATATATTGGTCGATAACTATATCGCATTGCAACACCAACACTTACTTATTACAGCAACACACGTTGATAGATAGATAGCATACATACATGTAGTGTTATTGGTATACCACCGTTCAACTTAAACTTAGTTACACTTAAACATTTTTACACATTGACATTGTTCATTCATACATACACTTTTGGACTTTGATTTTTTTTAGCGTCCTACATATTGACCTTTTCACACTTAAACACATTGAAAAAAATTTTTTTCATTGAAAATTAGCATCACTTGGTGATTGATTGTTTATATGAGAGTACAGATGTACTTGTAGAATTTATTGACTTTTATTTTTACACATTAAAAGTACATTTTTTTTTCATATACAGAAAGCAACACTATCGTATACAGTTATAGTATATAGTACCTTTACTCTGTGTTGAAATTAGACAGAGTTTGAAACAATCTATAGTTTGATTAGATAGATTCTAAACATGTGACTGTTTTAAATATTTGAATTTATTCAATTACAATATACTCTGATTGAGGTGCACTCATTTGCATATGATATATATTCAATCATTTTAATATTTGGTAGTACTTATTTATCAATGCACATCCATGTGTATTTGATATAATTTGTGTGTATTTTAGTTATTGTAGAATTGAGTATTGGTTATTGATTAAAATTTACCGTTTTGATTTATTGTAATTATGATACTCTAGTGTTGTGGTTAGGTAGTTAATAGTTGTATTATATTTTTTTGTTTTGAAACACCTTTAATAGACATAGGTTTTTGGAAGTGAAAGTATTTTTTTTCATTTTCGGTTTTGTTGTTGGCATTTATTAAGTAAGTTGGGCTACTACATTCTTCCAATCGGTCATGGAACAGTATGGTTCAAAGAAGAAACGCCATCGTCGTAGACTTAGACAGCGACCCTACTGGGACAACGACTTTGACAACGAAGCCAACCAAAACTACTCGCCTGCGTCGACTCCTATTCCACGAACAAGAGATCCTATCGTATGTTATCGATGCGGAGGACTTCATCACATAGCTATTGGTTGCCGTATACGATTAGACCATTCACGACAAGCTTATAACTTCCAGCAGATCAACGCGGAAGATAGAACATATGCATACCAACAGCAACAGTCAACACGTGATGTCACTGACCAACTACTAGGCAGCACCAATGAAGTAACTGTTACAGGTTCCACAGTTAGCACTGTCAGCGAATCATTTCATCGAAAATACTAACCTGATCATGCTATTCAGACACTTAACCGTATTCTAAACATAGAATGTGCTGATGGAGAGAACTTACCATATCATGGTTACATCACTGTCGATTTAGAATTACCTGGAGCATCACCATCAGATATACCACAACATGGCTTACTACTAGTAGTCCCTGATAGCACCTACAACAAGACTGTACCTTTGCTACTTGGTACCAACGTATTGAATAGAGCAATGGATGATGTAATACAACGCTTTGGTAATCGATTTTTACAAAACGCCAACTTGATCACTCCATGGTATATGACGTTTCGATGCCTTTTACTCAGAGAGAAAGAACTCAACAAGAGAAACAACAGATTAGCATTGATTAAATGCGCAGAGGGAAAGACTGTTCGAATCCCACCGAATAAAGATGTCATGCTTCAAGGTTATATGGACCATGAGTTGCCGTACCACCCTGTATGTGGAATACTTCAACCAACACATAAGGCAGCAGTACCTATAGACTTAGACATAGCTCCAACACTTGTCAACTACGAATACAGAGATAACAGATTAGTACCTGTACATATCAGTAATGTAACAACGAGAACCATAACAGTTTCACCTAACGCTATCCTTTGTGAGCTGCAACCGGTCTCAATTGCTGATATAGATAAGCCAGATGATACAGATTATGATGTTTTGAACGATGTCAACTTACCAGCAGACGTACTCAGTAACGAACAGTTAGAAAAAGGTAAACAACTACTTAGACAGTATAGAGATGTATTTAGCATGTCAGACACAGACATTGGTCACACAGATGCAGTTCGCCATAAAATTGATCTCACTGATGATACACCGTTCAAGCAGAGACATAGGCGTATACCACCAGCCATGTTTGATGAAGTTCGTACACATCTACAACAACTACTCACAGCTGGCATAATACGACGCTCACACTCACCTTGGTCATCTAATGTGGTACTTTGCCGAAAGAAAGATGGGAAACTGAGAATGTGTATTGATTACAGACAACTTAATCAAAGGTCCGTGAAGGATTCATACGCTTTGCCACGCAGCGAAGAGATACTAGACGCTCTAGGAGGTAACACGCTATATACAGTACTTGATATGAAGAGCGGGTACCATCAGGTAGAGGTAGAAGAGTCCCACAAGCAGAGAACAGCTTTCACTGTCGGTCCACTAGGCTTTTACGAATTTAACCGCCTGCCGTTTGGATTAGTCGACAGTCCAGCAACATATCAGAGGCTAATGGAAGAGATACTAGGAGACCTCCATCTTGATATCTGCTTCATTTATCTGGACGAT